ACAAGAGTAGAAGTTCGTCATCGTTTAACACACCTTCATCGTGATTATCAAGAGTTGATTGCGAACTTCTTTCAATGAAGTCATCCTAGTTCATCCTGAATAAACAGAGGACGAATAATGTCAATAAGCTTGACAGTGCGGAAACCGTGGTTTCCGACGGTGCTGCTTAATGTTTGTGAATTCCCGCCACAACGGCCTTCTCTCCCCAGCCTTCTCACAGGTTTCGGCGTCCCCGTCGCCGTCCGCGTTTCTTCTGCTTAAAGTCCCTAATTACTAACTGAGCAAACCGTGCCGCAGCCAAAGTATACATTCAAAGTATACTGTATTAGGATCCCGCACTGATACGTATTTCAAATCAATTGATTATCAGTTTCACTTACAGCACAGAAGAGAAAAGGTCTCATGGTCCATCGACGTCGTTAGTTTTAACTGAATATATATACAATTTTGTAGTGTCTTACCTTATCTTTTCCAATGAGTATTTTAAAGACAGCTCTTGATGACGAGCCCTTTTCTCTCTGAAAAAATTTTAAGAACTTAAATCATTATGATCATTCTTTACAACACAAAAGTACATTCAGTGTTATGCTTTTATGAGCTTTATAAGAAATTACACAATTCATACTTGTTCAAGGTAAAATGAGTGAGAAATATGGACATGAACATTGATTGAAAGAAAACCGATTGTCAACCTTTACGTTGTTCGTTCGAGAAACGTTCCGCAGGCAAGTATCTGGTTTTTGAGGGCGTTTTTTATCGAGCAAACTAGTTACTTCTGGTTGCAAGCTTTTCTTGTTTTGAAAACGTTTCCTTGGTGACTGCAGGCAGAACTCTAAAAAGAAAAGGTAAGGCCCGCGTACGCATCAGCAAAGAAGAATATCCTTAAAACGCTGAGAAAAGAAGATGGAGTTTCGAATATTTTCGCGAATTGGGAGTATAATAACTTTGTTTATAAACTTATACATTAAAAAAAAACGTTGCGTAAAAAATCGAAATTGTCTTACGGTGAAGTGACCTACCATGGTTGACTCCAAAATCGTGACAAAAAAAATTTGATTGCAAAAATACTATATGCAAACTGTCTCTCGGTCACTCTAGCTAACTTAGGTTTTTAAAATATATAAGGCTCGTAAGCTTTCCTTAGCAACAGTATGGTAGCCAGGTTAGTCCAAACCTTGATTGTCACACTTTTTCGTGAACGAAAGAAAGCAACAACTGCAAACAAAAACTAATTCTGATTTATTGAATCCAGCAGGCCTCGTTGCTTGAAATGTTTTCCTTCGTTGACAAGATGTAGTTCCTTTTCCAAGTATACTTCGCTAGATTTTGAAAACGAGTCAACGTTGCACGTGTGCAGCTGTCTTGATGGTAACGGGCCGGGCAAGTTCCTTACTTTTATACTTCTATACTGGCATGTTACCAGCATATTTAAGGAATACAAGTTGGAAGATAAATCTCCTCTAACACAGCAAAACAAAATACACTTTAAGTTTTGCGTTTTACTCACGGTTACAGCCTTGTAAAGCTTCTCAAGCCGAGATCTTGTCAGAAACTTGTTCATACTGACGCCATTCTCCAGTAGTAGATTTACAAACTCAACGCGATTGGTAATGAGGGCATCCATCATTGCATCTTCCAAGGCACCCATCAACTATTTCAAATACACACGCAAAAACCAAACAGAAAGAAAGTACGTCCTCCTAATTTGAATAAGCTTATAACAAGAATTGCTTTAACAGAACCCAATTCAAAGAGTTGAAAGCCTGAAAAAATTTCAGGTTTGTGCCGGGTTGGAAACCGTGACCTCTGCGATACTGGTGCAGCGCATGCTCTTCCAACTGAACTAACAAGCCAACTGGGAGCTGGTCATTTTGTTGCTTTAACAAACCCATGAATGATGGATAACTGATAAATGCGAATATATGACTATTAAAAAAAAACATCATACATGTGAACCTTGGGTGACACGTATGCTGAAATATTCAACAGGGATTTTGGTGATTCATGGGCCGAATTGCATCATGATTGTCGTTTTACCGGCGGATCGCGCTATATGGTGTTATTTTAGGCTACTAAAGTTAGAATTGCAGAAAAGCAATGTTTGTGTCCCAGTTTTCTGATTAATTAAGAAGCGCTGTTGAGTAAATGATTTTATTACATTGTGGTAAATCATGTAACCTCTTTTGTGATTTGACAGAGGCAGATTTTGTAATTTCAAGACTCTTTGAAAGTTATCGGTTTCTAAGGGCTTAAAAACGTGAAGATTAGACTTTGAAACGTTCGATCTTCTTCAAGAAAGTTTGAAAATTGGTTGCTAAACACAACCGACGTTCCGTGACTAAATGGACAAACATTTTGGCTAAATACTAGCCAAAGTAAGTCAACCGAACTTCGACCGTCGTGTGTTTTCAATTGGCTGCTCTTTCCCGCTTGCTCGAGTTCCTTTGGCAGTGATGGCTAAACGATCAAAACTTTGTTCGTAACGCAAAATGATGGTTGAAAATGTTTGATCTAGATCAAACATGGAAAACAATTTCAATGCAAAGTTGAAAGAGGCAGCTAAACTGTCGAACATGATGTTCTTCCAATACGATGCCGAACGAAAATGCTCCACCGTTTAGCCAGGGCTTATCTATTGGCTGCGGATCAAGCCAGGCAAAGTTTGAATGTAAAAAAACAACAACAAAAAACGAACAAAACAGCGAAAAGAAAGAAGAAAACAGAAAAACTTCAAAATCGCCTCCCACTCATGTTATCGTTAAAAATATAGTAGCGACCAACAGTAGATACATGTTTCTTACTTTCCACTTTTGATCCTTTGTAAAGATCTCTCTTCTAGCGATGTCCGCTCTGTTCCATGTCAAAGCCAAGTTTAATTGGTCAGATGGAGACGCACATTGCGCTATAAAGTAATACAAAGTTGCTATAGTTTTACAGATTTTTCAATTCAGCTGCGTATGTTCATATGTTCATGCATGTTAACAAACCTTTTAAAAGGCCTCTTAGAATCGCCCTGTCGATGTCGGTACCATCCTCGTTTATATCATATATTGTAATCTGTGAAGATACCAACCCAGTTTCATACAAGAAATATTAGAAAACAGTCCTAAGAGAATACGCGCGCTGATTGGTTAAAAATCGTGTTTCTATTTAACAATTAGATTATTCGCTCTCGATTTCTCTGAGGTGATAGTTGATTCGGCCTTCGGCCTCATCAACTATCACCTCATAGAAATCGAGAGCGAATAATCTAATTGTTTTAGTAGAATTCTTACTAAAATTTACTTCAAATAAAGGTTTCCCATTAATTCTTGACGTACTATTAAACTTTGCGCCTGAAAAAGGTTGCTCGGATTGAATTGTTATTCAAAAGTTGTGTACGCGCGCGCATCAGTTTTTTCAATAATTTCAACTTTTTTAAATGTCAAGAAACCGAAAATGTCCTTCATTTTGACTTCTCAGGAATTTAATTATCCATTTGCATCAAAATTTTCCTCCAAAACTTTGGAAAACCAGAAAAAACGTCTTCATTTCTTAGACGACCTCCAGCCACTGCACACTAATAGCTGATAGTGTTCAATGGCTCAGCTAATCAGATTACAGCATTTGAATTAGTATACCAGTAGAATTCTAGAATTCTACTAAAACACGGTACATGTTTTCTATTTCTTAAATGATATACATGCTACAAGGTATGCTACAATCGACACGGTGAAACTCGCTTTTGATTGGTCTAGTTTGACAGGGGTATGAATAACGTCACGATGCTCTCGTTTCGAATGAAACATCCAAATTTAGACTGTCTCAGTTATTGGTGAAAGTTGTATTGTTTTAGTAAAATAACATAACATAACATAACATAACATGTCATGACATAACGTAACCTAATCTTAAATTTGGCCTTTTTAATTTTCATGCATTCTAATTTTAGCGAGTATTAAATTTCAAGATTTTTTTTGTGAAATCGCGAAAATTGCCTGAGTACTTGGGAAAGAAAGTAACAATAAGTTACTTCTTTATTCATACTACATTTTGGCCTTGCGCCATCCGTGTGTTATCAGAGCACACACGCACGGTCAAATGGATCAGATGGATTGTGCTTCCAGACTTGCGAGCCTAATTGCCAGCTTTCTAGACCGGCCGTGGTTTCTCTCTCAACTTTGAAATACTTTTGTTAACTTAATGTTCCATTCTGCCAGGTAGTTTTCAAAGTTAGGTGCAGAGGCAAACCATTTACATTGTCAGCTGACGATAAGCAAAAAATATTTATTTTAACTGCAACAAAAACAACAACAACACTTTCACTGTAACCGTAATTAACTTAGAATAGTTAACACACACGCAAAAATAATAATTAATTAATTGGTGCTGACTTCCTGAAGTAACTATGAAGTAACGAATAAAATAAAATATAAATACAATATACTTTATGTTGATACCGGAGGTACAAGATGGACAACACATACAAACACATAATACCCATATCCTTCTTCAAACATTGTAAGTTTCTTCGACGAACCACCACTTACATATGCCTTGTTCGTCACGCACTTGACTACATCTTTGTAAAGCTGTCGAGACTCTTCCTGGCCACAATCTGGGAAGGTTTTCTGTATTCTCATCAGAAGTATTTCATGCTCAACAACCTCAGGAAAGTCCCTCATTTCAGCGCTGTTGAATGATTAAGGAGTCGTGAGATGAGATGATGCATCAATTAAGTATTTTTGGGTATATTTAGATGATGTGTTATTGCAAAACCATTTAAACTGGCACTAAATTTGGTGACTCTTCTAAAGTTTAACTTTGATGTTTCCATTTGATTTGTTTTTAATATATATTGGGTTCGATATCTATCAGGGATGCGCGCCATTTGTTTGATCCCCTTTAGGATTTTAGATTTCGCTATCACTTGAGTGATCAGGACGGAACGCCAACAGGATTAGAATTGGAATTTGGGAATGATGGTTCTTGAGAAGAGGGGAAAATTGGAGTTCCGGGGGAAAAAACCTCCCGGAGCAAGGACGAGAACCAACAATAAACTCAACCCGGGGCACATTAGACGGAGGCGAGTGCTTTCACCACAGAGCCTGCATCCCTTATGATCGACCTTCTCGCACTTTAGCACTGTCTCTGACCATGCAACTAAGTACGCACCCATGAAGCTCGTAAGCGTAAGCCAAAATGTCTGCAGCTCTGCCGCTCCCTTTAGCAACCACGATAGGCACAGGTGGGTCACTTTCGATGGATTTCAAAACTGTTTGGATTGTATTGATACCTCCTTCAAGGACTACCAGCACCACAGGGATACCATTTGACTTATCACTTGATGCAGTGTTGTTTGCAGCATCTCCACATTCTATAATTTGGAACAAAAACGGCAGCGAATGGAAGTATTAGTAACAAGCAATATAGTATATCTAAACAATTATGAATGTGAAAAAAAAGAGGCCAGTCTCGTAAATAACCAGAGAAAGAGTCCTTAATATCATGCCATCTACTGGCAATACGCAACTCAGTTCACTGTTCAGACGACTTCCACTTAGGTTGTCGAAAAGACTCTCAATCCCACCAAAAACGGCACTCACTCGGATGATCCTACTAATAATATGACTCGTGGGTTCAACATTTCCAGACCAGAATGTAACTACAACAAACAATTTACCTACAAGATGAAAACTGGCAATAGCCAGGCGATTGTAATCTTTTTTCTCCCCATCGCTTCCTGCATGTTAGAACAATACGAGACATCAATTCTTTACTTACTTCTCGGTATCTTCTCTGCTGCAATCCAGTTTTGGAGATTGGCGCGCCAGTCGATCTCTCGTCCGTATTTTCCTACCGTTCCATCATCCACCAGAATGAAATGTGAGTGATTGTTGTCGATACAGGATCCTTTCGACTCTAAACTGGAGGTCATGTGATAAGGGGCAACGCCCTGTGTTGAAAAGTGCAAGTAACTCGTTTAAGGGATTTAAAGGAAAGCGCCATCTATGTCACAAAAATTGAACCTAACCTTGCAGTTTATTAGTTTCTCTCTGTGTTCCACAATTCCCCACGTAGTAATTCCTATCAAAGGTAGCTGTGACGCTTTGTCTTTCGGATGTGCACCTCGTGACAAGACAGTATGACCCTTAACGGCTTTTCCCACGTGACGCATTACACCAGTGTTTGTTCCACCTGTGATGATCCAGGCACCTGTGGTCAGGGCGACCTGTAAAATATCACACGACCAAGCTATTCGTGTCAGTAGAGAGAATGTATATTTTTAATTAGCATTTCTTTCTGAGCGTGACAAACTATTATAATTTCACTAAGGCATATCGCCATTTTTGATTGACACTTTGAGTAGCCAAAACATAAAAGTTCCTTAACGCAAAACGATGATTATGCTTGGACATTTCTGAGATCAATTACTTCATATTTTCTTCTTGGAGCTCTAAGAGCACTTTTACGTTGAGCAAAGGTATTTTGTCACACTTTCTGTGCAGTTTTGACCAGACATAAAAATTTAGCCACGGCAATATAATACACCTTTAAGTGTCATGACGATCAAAATCACATTTTTGAATTTAAAAAAAAACGCATTTCGTAAAACTTGTTACATGTAATTGTACTTATCCTTACCACTGCATGAAATAAAATTCCAGTTCAGTAAAATGGAAATATGTAGCTTAGAAAAGTAGGGTTGTCGAGTCCACCATTACTAAATCATTACTAGATCCAGAGAGCTTGCGATGATTACTCTCCCAGCGGTCATTTTGTCGTGACGTCATTTTCTCAAATCTTTTCGCAGCAAAGACGATTTGTGCAACAATCTTACCATAAATTTCTTGTAGGAAAGCGATGTCTAGTTTACAACCTAGCGATGACTATTAGAGCTTAAGCCTGGTAAGCGATTCAGAAAGCTTCAATAAATCGTCAAAACACGAAGAAGCGAAGAATTCAGCTCACATAAAGACTGGGTTTGGCTAGTTGCACCAGGAAAGAAACTGCCTAGATTTGCTTCTGTACAGGAGAGATTTCCTCTTTAAGCGGTAGAAGGAAGTTTGATATTCAGTTTGCCCCAAGAGAAAGAAACATACTGAAAACGATCGTGAGAGAAACCAGATTTTCTGTTTTTGCGTAATGAGCAGCTGAATCGGTACGTTGATTATCACTGTTTTGCTATGAGTTCTCAGCTTTTTCACAAGCAAATACATGTAAGCCCGAATCCTAGCTTTGTTATCTGTTTATTTGCGAGTCGAGTTAAGTAATAAATAAGTTGGCACTTTCACTTTGTTTTATATCCTAATGGTTTGAAAAAAAATTTCGTGAACACCAAAATCAGTGTTAATTTGACTGCTGAAGGATCTGGCTGTTTCTACCACCTTTGAATGCATGTTGTTTACATGTCATTAATTTCCTATAGTTTCGCTTGTTTTCACATTTTATCGTTCAGTTTTCGCTTAACTTTTGTATGTGCTTTCCAAATATTTAATCAACAATTCTTGAACGCAGGACGAAGATGTAGTATATTAACCTGTTTATGATTCATGCCACCGCGCTAAGCGTGCAGTAAAGATGGCACTGTTCTTTGGTACGGGTAGGACTAATCTGCGCAACTGGAGACCGACGGAACCGCGGAACCTGCGTAACTTAGAGAAATGACTGTTTCTATTAGAAGTACTTATACTAGACTCAACTACCACTAATCTGAATAACAACTAATCATTTTTAACTTGATTTGTTTCGTGTATGAATATATTAGATACCTTCAACAGTCCTTGTCGAAACAAATACTTTAATTTGGGTTCCATCACAAATTCTTTCGCTCCACCTGTCACGGAAATGACAAGGTTGGGTAACTGTAATCCCCATTCTTCCTTGAACAGTTTCAGAACGGTAGAGGGAGGGGTATCATGAGAAATGCGGATGAACTGTGGAAAGAGAGCATTATATAACTATTATTAGTACAATTCTACTTGAACACTAATGCAAATTCTGCAATCTGATTGGCTGAGCCATTACACACTATCAGCTATTAGTGTTCAGTGGCTTGGTGTGGTCGATAAAATTTCAACGTTTTCTCGTTTCTCCGAAGTTTTGAAAGATCATTTAAAAACAAAAGGATAATTAAATTCCCGAGGAGACTGTAAAAGGACATTCATGGTTTCTGGAATTAAATAAACTCGAATTTTTTGAAAGACTCTGATAAGCGCGCGCGCACAACTGAATATGTCAAATTGACAACTCAGTTCGCGCGAATTCTCTAAAGCGAGAAGTTTAATATTAAGACCAGAATTTTTGGAATCGTTATTTGAAGCAAATTTCAGTTAGAATTCTACTAAAACAATTAGATTATGAGCTCGAGATTTATATAAGGTGATACTATCACCTCATAGAAATCTCGAGCTCATAATCTAATTGTTAATTACAGTAGTACAATTATCTCTTGTTAGTACAAATCTATTGGCATTCTATCACGAATGCCGTTCTCTCATTGGCTACGCTACTCGCTATCTATCCTGTGATAGATAGTGAGTAGCGATTGTCAACAAAATGGCGGCCGCTTCTTCGCGTTTTCGAAGTGCCTGCGAGGAGAATGTTTACCGAACACTCGAACGGTTCACCAAGAAGTCACATCTTGCGTTGTAGTTTCACTGTTTTAATCCAAAACTCGCGGTACTGTACTGACAGTACTCGCTAACTCGCTTACTTCGCTCACAGAAACAACTGAAAGTTCAACGATCACTGTTATGGCGCGTTTTTTTGCCGTAACACGTACTCCCGGCTTGATTCTGCTTTGACTCTGCTTTGATTGCCAATTAATGTCTTAATGATTCCTCTTAAGCCTCTTAATCCTCGATCCTGCTGCCCTTATTTTAAAAGAGACAATTCAATGGTTTTCAGGCTAGCATAAAAGGCAGCAAGTAATATGTAATTGGCAGTCAATACTGTTTCTCTCACTGACCAGTGTATTGTATTTGGAAAGGCACTGACCTTCGCTCTGCTCGAGGGTCCTGCTCCAGTAAATTCAAGTTCTCCATAAGCGTCGGTTGATCCGTCTTCTTTTGTATGCTTGTCCGGGTCCCATTGGTCAGCATCACTTGTTTGATTTCTTGCGTCAGGGTGGTCATCCTCCAAACGACCACAGCAGCACCTGAAAAAACCAACCTCACTGAAAATTCCATCTCAATTAAGTTTGATCAGTGTTGTTGTCTGACGTTTTCAAAAAAGGTTCGGTCTTCCTGATGACCAAACTATTGATATTTATTCCCTTCGCATAGCCTTTCCATCCACTTACGCAAATTGTTTTGTCATGATCGCCATTCAACCTTCTTAAGATCCCGAGAAAACAAATGAACAACACAGCACATTTTCCCGAGATCAATGAACATGAAACAGTCCCAGGTCTTCAAATGAATTAACGTAATTCTCCCATCTCTTATGGAGTGCAATGTAGACACAATATGTTTGCCCTTTTACCCTCACTGTGGACCATTTTTCACTCACCGTCCTTCGTCTTTCACATCTGAAGAACGGATGAATTGACAGCATGCTCTTTTCCTAAACGTCGAGTAAATCCATGAACTTTTTTCCTGTGGTGCCTGTAGGAGATTATGTAAACCGGTAGGAAGATCTTGATTCAACCCCATTCAGTTAGAGCAATGAAAATTCTTATTACTTTTACTTAAGGTGGCTGACGCAAGTTTCAGATTTTTTTGAGCTCGTTACATTGATGGACGATAATACCACTCTTTATCAGTTGATACCATAATAGAACATCAAATAAATGTCCAATGTGTTTATTGATAGAACTTTCCAGAAACAACACTCATTTTAGCTTTAAGTGATATTACTCTAAAAAGAGAGCTAACGGACCAGTATTTTTTATCGTTAAACAGTGATTAGCGTGTCAAGATCCAACATTTGCAAAGTTCAAAAAAAAAATCCATCGCGCAGAATTGTGTGACACATCCGGGATATTTACAGGTGCAATGGCGCTAAATTTGAAAGCCCGAGACGACAAAGGCCACGACACAATAAAGAAAAATGGCTGCAATAGACAAAGACCCCCCTGCGTTTTACTCTGTTACAGCTTAACTATATAGAAAAATTTACTGCCTGACGAGTATGTTCCGCGTTAAATTTCACGCGAAAAACCGATATCGCACAAATCGCGAAGCGATGAGTGCAATATCGGTTTTTCAAGTGAAATTTAACGTGGAATTCACTCGTCAGGCAGTGAATTTTTCTTGAATCGCATTCCTAAAGCCACCAAATCACTGAGCGAAACCAAACGTTTTGTATTTTGTGAGCCGCGCCAGTGCGCAAACAATGGAAACTCTTTAAAAGTCAGGTGTCAAGATCTAGCGAATAGGAAACAAGATATTTTTAGAATGAAAACCACTTTTATTCCAGCCTCGTGGATAAAGCAGTGCCTCACATTTTACAATCTTCAGCAAAACAACTGAACGTACACAATACGGAGTTATTTAAGACAAAGAGTTTGTAGAAAGTTCTTTCATTCAATGAATATCTTGGATTTGCCTGCTACCATACAACTTAGCAAAATGTAGCGCCGACAATCAACAACTGAAATGCTTAAGCGAAGGGAAAATTTCAAGCGTTCTGATATTAAAACAAGATCTACAAAAAACCGGTAAGTGCTTTACAGTTATAAACATAGGCACGCAAGGCGTGCAAGAGTTATTTTTTTGTGTGTGAAGTGTCGGAGATAGGAGAATTCATGAAGCTGTTTACAGTAACGATTTGTTTAATTAGACAAGTTTTCTTGGTTGTGATATACAGCAAGAAACAAACTGGGAATTTATGATGTACATGCGATGTTACATCGGTCATGGGAAGATAGCTAAATAGTAAGCCATAAAATGTTTGACTGAACAAACTACAGTAATC